CATTACATTTTTATTTTATGTTAGTTTTGGAGTCATAAAATGTATTTTATTTTCAGTTTTTCAGTTATTTATTTATTTATTTGTAATTCATCTTTGAAACAAAGATGTGTTCATTTAGTAACACTGACTATAGCCCAATGTCTTTTTTTACATAATAAAACATGTATTTGCCTCCTCAACTGCATTTAAACACCCGCAGGAAGTGGCACATTTCCCATGTGCTCCATCATCAGACCACAGGTGTAAGAGGTTATTTGACAGCACCGTTTAGGGACACACTGCTGAGCTGACCTTGAATGTCTCCACTCACACAGATGAAGTGAAAACTGAGAAAGAAGCATCCCGATCGAACTTACTGCTTTTGCCCTTGACACGCAGAGGCTGGCCAGCTCGATTCCCTGTCCTCCCTCAGAGGAAAAACTCCACTAAACTATCTGACAGTTCACTAGGAACCTGACAACATCTTAGTAGCCTGGCTTTAAGCAGGCAACCCAGTATCTCAGCACTTCTGCTCTCTTGCCTCCATTAATCATCAATTAAGCAACATCTTTCATTTTTTAACACACAACCTTGTCCAGTTACAACCCCACACCGATGTCCCCTGCTTACGGTCACTTCCGTGGTTGCGTGTTACTGTCATGAACCCTGTCGACAGACTTTGTTGTGCTGCCTTTAATTTGACTCCATCCTTACTGTCATTCTCTCTACCTTAACCGGGGTTTGAATTTCCTGAAAGCTAGAATTCATTCTCGGCGGCTCTCGTGAATGTGCAGCGTTGTTTATTTGCCAGCTTTAAGACGTGCACGGCTTTTCGTCAAACCTGCGGATGATTGCACTCGAGGTGCTCATCAATGTTGTGGCGTGTGAGGCGAGAGCAGTTCGAAATGCTTTCCTCCAAACGCAAGCACTCTGTATTCACTCAGCAGACACTAATGGCCCCCTGATAGAGATCATCTTTATTCATGGATGTTGAAGCATTACTGGAGAAAACATGGTTAAAAAGCACAAGTCGGAGTGATAGAATGTTTGCCATCTCTAAAATTGCACCTTTTTCCTCTCTCTCAGATGTATCCGGAGGAGGTGCGGTGGCCCATGGTGTTCAGGGTGAACGTGGAGGTTTGAGTTCTGTGCTGAGGGACTTGGTAAAACCTGGAGACGAGAACCTGCGTGAGATGAATAAAAAGCTGCAGAACATGCTGGAAGAGCAACTGACAAAGAACATGCACCTACAGAAGGTAAAGAGAGGGAAGGCCAGCCAATTCAAAAAAGCTTAGTAGATATCAGAATTTGAACATCACAGCAAAATAAAAAAATTCTACTCCTGTCCCACTATTTTAAGTTTAAGACAGCACTGTATTGGAATTTCTCTCCCTTTTTATTTTTTTATGTTCTGCAATTAAGGCAGCTCAAACCAATTAACATACAGCATCCATTGAAATTTTTATGTGAATAAACTATTGTTTTTTTATTTTGTTTTATTTTGTTTCTATAATATATATATATAT